GGCTTTCTGCCGCGGCGCCGTTTTAAAGCGCCCTTCTGTTGCCGTGCTGTTGTCGCGGCGGTGATGACGCGCGATGACGTCGCGGCTTTAGCGACACGCTTATGTCTCCGCAGATAAGGGCTTTGCGGTTTTGTCGTGCCACGTACTAATTAAGCGAATTCTGCATTAACAAAAGAGATTTGGAGAAATCAACTAGCTAGCTCAGTTTCTATCTTGCTTTCCTCATGTGCAAGTAGAAATGATTACTAATTAAGTGAATTCTGCATTAACAAACAAACAAAAATCCCATTGAGTTAAAAATGACCCCCCTGCCTAGTGCTAATGTATTGTGGAAGTTCCCTTGGCTCTTTGGGAAAGAATGTAGGCTTAAACCTGAAGACACTACCCTGTGACTTAGCAGTCTATCAATGTGAAAAAGATGAACAGATGACCCCCTAATCCCCATTTATTTTTACAAGGCTGGGAAATTGTAAATATGTTTTGAAAATATCATGAAGCACTTTCTTTCAGAACGTTCTCCTGTGCCAGCCTCAGTGAATTTAAACAAGGAAAGTCCAAAGGCAAAATAGCACTTTTGTTGAGCACCTGATTTCAGAAGGATTTGTGCAATCCCCCACTTCTCTGTAATTTCCCATGATTTGAATGAAACAGGGAGACAGACAGAAGTTTTCCATTCCAAAGAAGATTGGCAGCATTCTCAGCTTTTTTTTTTTGCCCGTACAGCTTCTGCAAAATACAATCACAACCATTCCAGATGGCCTCAACAATCGGACAGCCAAGTTCCCATTCATGCCCCCTATCCTGAGCCATACCCAGCTTCTTAGGAAGAAACTTTGGACTGCTGACTGTCTGTGCATCTAGGACGCCTTTTCACTCCTGGATCCTTCACTCCTCTGCCAGTGGCAGGGTCCAGCATAGAGGACTACAGGAAAGATCCTTAAAAACAGATGGCCCCCCATATTTATTTTTGTACCTGGTGGGAAGGCTGACTTTTTCTACCGTAGAATTCATCCCAAGATAGAGATTTTATTTATTAACAACTAGCAGTACAAACCCAGGCTGGTGGGTTTGCAGAAGATTAAAATAATTTATATATATATATATACACGTGTTCGATGTCTGCAGCAAAGGAGTAGATTGGAAATACCCCGTGTCTTTATGTGCAATAGGTTGAAATGGCACTGAACTTGCTGTAAGAAGGAAGCCCGCCTGCTTTCATGCTGCTAAATGTTTTTCATTAACTTCCTCTTGAATGTTGTACTGTCAGCAGCTGCTGTGATATAGCTTGTGGGGCCTTGTGGAGGAAGTGGAGATATTTGTATGGGTTCTGAAGCCACTTCTGTCTGCTGATCCAGAGACACGGCCCTGCTTTCCCCATCCATTGGTGAATGCTCTTAATTAAGGAACATAGGGAGGCTTGGAAAGTGGAATACTGTTTGTGCTTCATGAAGAGAGATCTGTCCTGACATCAGTCACCTTAAAAAAAAAAATCTGTATTTTCCAGATAAAATCTGAGATCAGAATGTAATTAGCAGTCACGGCTGTGTATGTGTGTGTGTGTGTGTGAGAGAGAGAGTGAGTGAGTGAGTGAATGAGTGAGAGAGAATGTACACATTCTTTTCTTAATTGTCCCATGGTTAACATTTTTTGATGTCCTACTATTGTTCCTTCTGCCTTATTCAAACTGTCAGATCCTTCATCAAACAAATACGTCTCATACATGTTCCACACCACATAAGTTTCTGAAAATTATTTGGTAGCTCTCCTTAGCCTCAAAGCAAGCATTGATTATACTTCACAAGTCTATAGAAACACTGGCCAGAGCCAAAATCTTCATAAATGCGCAGGCTGCCTCTGGTGGCAGATTGTTGAGTAACATTACGGACTGCACAGTGGGATATAAACATACATTATGGAGTATTATCCTTCAGAGAATTCTTCTGCACAACTTGTATTGAAATGCAAAATATCTGCATAAAACATTCCTATGCTTTTGCGCAGCTCCTGGTCATATAAGTTAACGTGCAGGAGAATTTATATGCGGAATGTGCTTCATGTTAATTAATAAGAGGTTTCTGCGGATTTGGGGGGATACTCAATTTCAAAGTATTTTGGATTAGCTCTTGTAAAACCAGGCTTACTTTAGTGCTTTTACTTTGTATTGTTTTTGTTAACTTTCAGCATTCAGCTGGCCAATTTAGAGTAACAGTTGTTTCAAGGTTCTCCATCTGCGTGTAGGAAGCTAGAGTTTGTGCAAGAAAGCTGTACTAGATTCTTCCTTACGTGTACTTTATTTTTAAATGAAGTGTGTTCAGTAATACCTTCCTTCGGTTCAATGTTGTGTACTTTAAACATAGTATCAATAAGAGCTAGATTGCAGGTTGTTATAAAAAAAAAACCATCTCTATAACCACCATTGTGTATCTGCGTTAATGTATAAATCTTTGCTCCCACCTGATCCTGTATACTAACTCTTCACCAACATTATTATAGAAAAAATCAGTGGTTTCTCTTCTCTGAGCAGCAATAATAAAATGTAATTCAGAGGAGGTAGGAAGTTTGGGTAATCTTTATAATTAATGTTGAAACTAAATAGATGTAAGAGTGCACAAATATAATTGTATGCAACAGGTTAGAATGTGTAATAATTACAGCTACTCTTTATAATACATTAACAAGTTACACATTTTTTCCGGGTCATGAAAAATGAAAGACAGAAACAGCTAGGAGAGCCAAGTTCCTAACTCCTTCCATTTATGCATAGAGGCTCATTATATTTCCAATATTATATTTGCTAAAGTCCAGGTAATTTTTCAGAACAACATTATACTCTGGGAGTATACTAGAGCAAGACAAAAATGAATCCTATGACAACCTAAAGACCTACATATAATATAGCATAGATTTTTGTGGATAATAGCCTATATTGTTAGATATCCGGAACAGAGGGAAGAGTACTATATTTGCACAGTCATTTGGAAGAGTAGGTTAATGGAGATGGTAGAAAGTAAGGTCAGAAACACTGAAAGTTATCTCTAGACACTGGCCAATAATTCAAAAATTATCAGAATTTAACAAAAGTTCAAGGGTTTTCTTATAACACTGCATGTGTTAAATCAGCTCATCGGTGTAAGAGTAATTGCCACATTCAACAAAGTTGTTAATGGTCAAAGAGCGATTTATTTATATTTTATTTGCAAAGTTAAACTGGCTGAAGGTAGTTATTCAAGTTAAAGTATTTTGCTTGGACTTCGGAATTATTTAAAAATGGTCAGATAGACGGTTGCGATAGCCCAGATGTCTAAATTTATTGGGGATGAGAGGGTGATTTATTTGACCCTTTTTGTGGCTAGCTTTTTTAGGCTGTGCTGACCTCTTCTTGTAGCATAGCAGCTGGTTCTGTCCAGTAGTTTTATCTTGTTCAGCCCTTGAAACTGAAGTTTGCTGGAGAACACTAAAGAGGAGAATTAGCAGTGGTAACGTTTGTCCATGATTTAAAAGCAACAACTCTGCATTCTTTCTTCAATTTTGCAATCACCCCATGGTGTGGAATTAGATTACAACCCCAGAAGCCTTATTTGTTTTAAGCAGCCTTCCTCCTAGAGCCCTTTAGATGTCTTGGATTCCATCTCCTAGACTGAGGCTGCCGCCTTTGATCATGTTCCTCAGCCAGGTCTTTTGCTATGGAAAGAGATCTGTGCATGGCAGGCTATAGGGAGCATGGCAGGGGATCTGTTATGTATCTGCTACTGTAGAGCAAGGAACTGGATGGGACTTAACGTATGCGTGTGTGGGTGTGGGTGTGTTTATATGTGTATGTGTGTAC